TCCCAGGCTGATAGCATGTTTAGCTTCAGTTAGGGAGATTTTCTCCCAAGATGATAATCTGGGCAAAACAAAATAAAATTCATAATAAAAATCAACACCTGGTGTGGATTGTAGAACTCATTCTAAAGTACTGTCCCATGGACGTTCCCTCAATTATCCAATAAGCTACTGTCTTGTCTTAGCTCTGCGAAACATACTATATAAAGCACGAATTGTACTCTGAATAAACATCTCCTTCCTATCCTGAGATAGACCATATAGCTGTGGTCTTATTTCTGCCACATCTAAAGGGTTAAATCCTTAACCCAGCAGCTACACAAGGATACCAGATTTCTTTTTTCCATAGATAGCTTAACCTAGGAAGAGCAACAAGGTTCATTGAAGAGTCACTTGCTAGGAGAATTGCAACCATTTCCTATGCCATTATAAGCGATGATGCTCCCTATAGGCAGTTATCAACGCCTACTGAAATACAAAGTCTTCACCGCATGTTTTCACAAACCCAGGATTGCCTGCCTGTCATATTGCAAACATGTATGTCTCCAGTGTGACACTGCCACACATTCTACTTAGAGTTTAAAATCGACAGCAAAAACCCTGACATGGTTGTGTGAGGCTATTAGTTCTCTGGTCACTGTCCGTATAGAAAGGCAGCTTTGCAAAGCAAGTATCCAGCCCTTAATGTCAGAATTTTCTCCTCTGTGGTGCTGGACATTATGAAAAAATTGTGATTTATCGCAGAAGCCCTGGTTCCTGGGCTAATCTTAACTAGAGCGTTGCTAAGGCAATGCTATCAGGAGTGTGCTCCTCTGAACTGATTTTGCAGTACGCTTTTCAGTATTTGCATACTAAAGCTGCTATCTAGGGATTCATTCTTACAGAAATGGTAAAAGAGAAAGGAGTAGTTTTCTTTCTGCATATATGGGAAATTATGCTTAGCAGAGAACATGTATTTTACCAAAATTCATTTTATGAAGAAACGCAAACAAACGAAAACAGCATGTTTAAAAGAAGCAAGTAAAATTAACATCTTGTTATACTTTAGAGAGAATGCATTCCTTCTGTAATTATTTCTGAAGTACTGTATGACATTTTTATTATTCATTGGGACATAAAGGAAATTACTGACTAAACAGTTTTCACTGTTGGAACTCCCTTGTGCTTGTCACTGTTATTTTGAATCTGCCCTCAGTACACAAAAAGTATTTTCTAAACCCTGGCAGTAAGAATTTTTATGTTCAAGGTGCTGGTTTTGCATTTATCACTATGTTACATCTACATTATTTTTCTGAATCAAAAAATAGTATTATCTCATATCAGTATAAGGACTTCAGAAAGATAACTGTATATATAAATGGTGTAGGGGTATTTTTAATAGAATGAAATTATTCCTCAGTACAATTCAAATTCTAAAGAAAAAATAGTGCTAGCCATCTGCAACAATTACTGCAATTTTTCAACACAGAAAATCCTCTGTGCTTCCTTGTTCATCAGTCTAGAATTTGCATTTGTATTCTTCTCTTTCATTCAGGTTTTTATAGCTTGCTCACTGCCAGGGTCCCCAATGACTAATCTCTTTATTTTAAATTTTCCCTGTAGTGCTTGATATCAAGAAAATATTTTATGCTACCTATGTCTAAATAGGTTGAATTACTCTACAGACATGTTTTTCTCCCTCTTTTCACTATAGTAGAACCTTAAATGACTAGCTTGAGAGAGCTAAATCTCTTTAGTATCTTTGAGATAACGGAAAATTTTTTAGTAAATTAAGAATTGTTAGAGGTCCTTCTAATAACCCTAATTATAATTCTAAGTTTATTGGGAACACAGGTTATAAATTCTTGAAAATAGTATTTAATTTTCTAAATACATTGCTCAAAACAAAATCTACTGTCTACTGCTGCCATGTTCTAGAAATTGTATCATCTTGCTGAAAGAACCAATTTTCAGTCTTTCCACAGAGCTTCACACAATCACTGTATCAATCTTTTTGGGATCATCAAGTCCAACCATTAACCCAGCCAAGTCCATCACTAATCCATGCTGCCAAGCACCACAGTATGTGTCTTTTAAATACCTGCAGGGATGGTGACTCATCCATTTCCCTGAGCAGCCTGTTCCAGTGCTTGACAAGCCTTTCAGTGAAGAAATCTTTCCTATGCAATACATTTCAGAAGTATATCTTCATATAGGAATATATTTCCTATTCATATGCAACTGCAAGTTGAAAGCTGAATATCACAGTGTACTTTTGATTTTACAGACACACGCAATGCTTTATATACCCACTCTCAGCATTTTTACTTTGAGCAAATGCATACTGATGACTGGCTGAAAACTCTTTGTTTTTCTACCACTCACATCTGCTCTATATTCTCATATGTGAAGAAGCTAAACCCCTGAACAACTCTCAAAAACCCCAAAAGAATTTTAACAAACCTAAATGCTTGAACACCATAAAAAATTATCTGTGTATTTTTACCAGTTTTATCTTTTAAAATTATATCTATAAAAAGCAAAGCAGCTCTTCATTCTCCAAGAGTATTTGTAAATAAACACTGACTTTTCTGATGGCTTCAGTTAAAAAAAACAAAACAAAACCAAAAAACAGCAAAGCCCTCATAATACCTCAATATTTCTCTGCTCTTTCCATCTCCCAAAAATCTAAACAAGGAAAAATGAAACATTTCATTAAATCCTTAAAGCACTTTCCTTTTTGGCTAGCAAACAGGAGGATTTATTAACCCTAAGTTGGAAGAATGAAGGAAGGACTTGAAACTGCATGTCATAGCACACGGGTTCCAGATTTTTCCAGGCTTCACTAAGTGGGCCTAGGACTCTTCAGGCTCACTTCTAGACTCCTCCTGGCAGTATGAACCTTTCAGTTGGGCTGGCATTCTTCCCTTCATGGGAACAATAACCAAACCGCTCAAAACCATGGCTCGTTAGTGAGGAGGCAATGCAGTATTTAGCGGGATTAGAAATGTACTAATGGATTGGTGGGAAAGATTATCTCGCTGGCAATGCCTCCTGGAGTACAGGCAATTGATGAGAAATAAATATTTTTGACACTGTAACTATGCACACCAGTCTGTGCTTTACAGGCGGATTGGAATAACACCGTCCGAAGCAGACTCTGCTGTAAATTTTCTAGATCAGTGTTCTGTCTTCAAGACTTTTCTTTGAATATAATCCTAGTTGTATTTTCAGATGAACTCAGTGAAACAGGAAAGTGGGATAGGGAAGATTTTGTTCTCTTTTTAATTGGCTGTTAAAGAAAAGAATCTTGCCTACCTACAAAACACCATGGTCTCTAGGACAACACTAAAACTGGCAAAAATGTCGACTGTTTGAAAGCCATGGATCAGAACAGAAAAAGCAGTTAATTATTCACACCCTGTTTACAGCAGATAATAATCCTTCCCACTAAAAGAGCATGCAGCCTCCTCTAGGGTCACTAAACTCCCATTAATCTTTAGAATCTGAAGCACCAAAAAAAGTCAGATGGTAATACTTCTGTAAGTATAAGCAAGAGAATAAAAATCGTAACAGCTCTGCTTCATAATCTTCATTATCCCTGCTTGTGTTACAAGGCATTATCACATCTTTATCTACCTTCCATGTTTCTAAAAGTGGGTAAGAAACAGAAAAGTTGTCAAATATTTCAGCAGATGATAGGCTAAGGAAAAAGCAGTTCTGAATCTACAATGACTTTTTTACTTCATTTACTATCTTAGAAGACAAAATGGCCATAATATTTGCTGGTGTTTTTTCCTTGGCATTTTCTCCTCAAGATTGCAGAAAAAATATTTTATGCTGTGTTGAATTAAAGTGAAGTATGAGTGCATTAAGGAATAACATTTTTTAAAATGAAAACAGATACTTCCTGCAGTGATGCAAAAATTTACTGTAAAATGAGGAGTTTTCCTGTGACTATATGGTGCAAAATGTTACTGCAATTATTCATCTAGTTTATCACAGTTGACACAAAACCGGGATTATTGACTGATACAACAGAGGATTGTTGCCATGCAGAGGGGCCTCAAGAAGCTGCAGAAATAGGCAGAGGAATCATGTGGAGTGGAAATGGAGTCCTGCCCCTGGGGGAGAAATAATCCCAGACACCAGTATATCCTGGGGCTGGCTAGTTGGGAAGCAGCCTGGGAGATGATGACTTTGGGGTCCTGGTGAGCAAGGTGACCCCCAGTAATCAGTGTACTCTTGCTGCAAGGGTGGCCTGTGGCTGCCTGGGCTGCATTAGGAAGAATTATGCCTGCAGGTCAAGGGAGGTAATCTGACCCTGATCCTTAGGACTTGTGAGATGCATCTGCAGTGCTGGGTTCAGTCCTTGACTCTTCAGTACAAGAATGATATGGACTTCTGGAGCAAGTCCAACACGGAGCTATGAAGATCTTTAAAAGACCAGAGCACCTGACAGATGAAGAAAGGGTGAGAGATCTGCAACTGTTCAGCCTGGGGAAGAGAAGGCCCAGGGGTTCTTATCAATGTGTAAAAACATGTGATGGGAAGGGATAAAGAAGAAGGAGCCAGGCTCTTCTCAACAGTGCCCAGTGACAGGACAAGAAGACTGCAACAGCTGGAATTCCACTTCACAACTGAAAACTTTTACTGTGAGAGTGGTCAAAGACTAAACGATTTCATGAGGTTTAATGTTTTCCCATTCATTAATAGATCTAGTCCAGCTATTCCATCTTGCATGCCTTACTGCAGATTCAATAATAAAACCTTCACACAGGAAAAAATTTCACTACATAACTCTTCCCAACATTCAGGTTTTATGTACTTCCTACTTTAGAATTTCACTCTATATTTTATAAGCTATTGCATACATGAAACAATAAAAACATAAGCAGTACTGATTGTTTTGGCTTCTAGACCAGGCTGCTGCTATTTTATTTCATAAAAAAACCAGAGACTATATGAGTTTTCCAATTAGCCTGTGATTTGTTGTTAAGCCAACTAAATGTCACAGTACTTACCACAGGCATTTTATCAAAGGTGCGAACAATGGACAGTTTATCTACAAATAAGCAGAAAATTGTGACCTGGTGATATAATTTCAACATATCTAATAATCACTAATTCTATTGAAAAAGTTATGAATATCCATTTCTACCTGCTGGATTTCCACGAATAAGCTCCACCTTATCTCGAAGAATATTAATTTGCCTTTCCAGCTGTTTGTTCAATTCTACTTGTGTCTCATACCTGGTTTTCCATTCGTTATCTTAAAAAAAATTACAGAATTATTATATTTCCCAGATTAGTTAATGTCATTTTAAGCAAAAGCAATTTTAAAAACTGTTCCTTTTAACTAACAGAGAAAGTCTTCACTTAGTAATCCTCATATTAAGCATCTTTGCATATAAAAGAGCTTGAAAATATAAATGAAGGAAAATTTTCACTAAGCTTACTGTGGTCAGAATATTAACCAACTCAGTGAAGTCATAATATTCACAGTTTCATTAATAATTAACAAAAAACCCCAACCAACCAACCAACCAACCAACCAACCAACCAACCAACCAAAAAAGCTGGCATGGCCACATGTAGTATTTCTTAATTTCACATGTGAAGCACTACAGCTATAAGAGTCACATTTGAAAAGTGAAAATTTAAATTTCTAAATACAAATTTGAACCTCTGTAGGTCCTTCCCAAAAGAACTATTTTTCTGTTTCTGAATCAATTAGCACGACTGTTGTAATTCACTTACCTTCATTTTCAACAGTGTTAAGACTTTTTTCCAGTTCTGTTACAGTGTTTCTCAGTTCCAATATTGAGCGTTCAAGCATCTGCCTGTGGTATTAAAAGAAGTCAATAAATTGCTACAATAGCCAATAAATGGCTCTTGTACTAGTCCTATTATTGAAATTAAAAAAATTAGATCAAATATATTTTCAGAAATATCTCTTGGTCATTTCTATATAGTTACATTATCTTGTCCATTCTTAAATGCATTTTTCTCTCTGGTTAATACAGTGCCTTTAAAACAATGAAGCATTTCTACTTTGTGAATAAAATTACTTCCACAAAAACCCAAGACAGACATTTCCTAAAATATAACTATTTTCTAGCTGATCATCAGAATTTAAAAAACGTAGAGGGCACAGTGACCCTAATTTTTCATCCAAAAGAAGATGCCAAATGAGTATGTTTTTTAAGACAAGAATATGCCTGAGAGATGTGCCATTTAAAATTCGAATAATTGTTCATTTTGACTTACTGCTCAATGATTAATAGCAATTTCCAAAATTGCACCCATATCAAATCAAAACAAACAATGTTCTATAACTATCAGAAAGGAAAGCGAGTAATTAAATTAAGATGAGTGTTAAAAAAAAATACAGGAGCTGAAGCCACAATTTTTTAGGAAAATATATTTTTGCCCATTGATTAATCCTATATAGTGGTCAGCCAGAAAGCTGAAAGGTACCATGAAAACCAGGCTCCTTCTGCCTTGGAAGGTCTGACCAGAAGCAGAAGGTAGCAGGGGACTTTGATGAGAGCACAACCCACCTGCAATGCTTCAGACAAGGTGCTGGGTGACTCTCATCCTTCAAAGGGGCCAGGTGGTAGTTTAGTGTCTTACAATGAAACCTATGATCTTGATCACATCAAGAAGACATTACTGGTAAGTTATTGACCATATTCATGCTAACAGCCTGGTTCTTTGAGGAGACGTCTATGGAGAAATGCTCCTGCCTGTGAGGTCTCAGGAAGTCAGATCATACCAGGACAGGTGCACAAACCACAATGAATAAAAATGCAGAGGCAATTTGTGATTTCGTCCTTTCAAGTTAAGTTTGGAAGGTGAACATTTCAAAAAAATGGTCAATGGTTCTTGGACACCTCAATTTTTCAGAGTACAAACTGAGACATTCCAGAAGAACTGAGAACACAAACTCTACAAAGAAGACCCTTTGGGAAATGTTTTAAAATACCAATATGATGACTAGTGTCTCTGAAACCTTACATGTTCATAATAACATGCACAAGACAAAATTATTAGGCTGTAATATTTTGGGGGAGGGGGGCGGGGAGGAGGGAAGTTTAAAGGAGAGCTTTCATTTTCAACACGGATATTCATTTTCTGAACATGTCCATGAGAAATGCTCTTCAAGAAGTAATTATCTAACCTCTGAGAAATCAAAGCTCTGATGACAGAGACTGATTACTGAGAAATTGCATCACTTCTTGCACTCCTTGTGCCCACATTTAGTTGGTAACTCTTTTTTTCACAGCTTGAAACAAAAGATTTCAACTGCAACCCACAGAAGCAAACCAACTGCTCATAGGGAGTTGAATGGGTAAGCTTGGAATAAGGAGGGCTGAAGAGCTGAAATTGCAAAGAAATATAAAGAGTAATTTAAGGTAAGCCAAGTTTCTTTTCAGTGAAAGAGACACACTGGAGAACAGTAGGACAGACATTTCAAATAGCAAGGAAGAGGTGGGGCTTCCAAGCCCTCCTTGCTCCATTGCTCTTTTTGTCTCTACCAACATTAAATTAGACATGGGGCACATTGGCAAAATATAACGACAGTACTGGTAAATTGCTAAAGACAAAAAGAATAAGGTGAAACCCAGCCAAAGATAGCTTTGAAACATGACTCAAAAAGCTTTAGATGCAGGAAAACTAAAGGAAATCTGATTGCTGCTGCCTTGTTTCTCCCACTCCAAATAAAAGACACAGATGGCTAGGAAGAAGAAAGACAAAATCTTACTACATTGCTGCTATCATTTCAACAGAAATAGATAAAGTTTCTGCAAAGCAGATTTCTATCAACTTCTCAGAGCTTGGAAAAGTGGAAATTATGATGACAGTGAGTGCTAAAATGTGATTTTTTGAAAGGAAATAATAATGAAATTTAGAAACAGTCAAAGCTGTAACCAGAGCTGAGCTGTATCAAAATGAAATTGTTTTTGTTTTCAAAGAAATTTTAATTAAGTGCTCAGATGCAGAGGGAAAACATAGGAAGAATGAGTTCCTTAAACTTAGTGTTTCCAATTTTCAATTTCTGTTACCATTCCAAGACTATATACAAAATTTCTTTTATTAGATTCTATTATTCTTTCTGCACCATTAACAAAACTGGAAGCCAAATTCCAATTATATTTTGCTCTGATGAATATATATACAGAAATGGTAAATTGTCAGGTGTCACACTGTAATTGCTACACCAACAGAAAGTCTTTTTTCCACGTGGGAACAAAAACTAGGGTTTTTTTTAATGTAATTGTTATTAAACATTTAATACTCCACTAGCATCCAGAATGCATGGTGAAACAACTCTATTTTAGACAGTATATACTCAGTAAAATGCAATCTCTGCCATGACAGAGAAGAGATGTAGAAATAAATAGTTTTGAGAGGCTTGGTAAGTATTTCTGGGGTTTAACATATTGGAGTATTTTGCATTTCTGGAGCTATTTCTAATTGTGATAGGAAATTAAGGTCATGCCATTTATCTGTTAGTGTGAATTTAATGCAGCTGTTTATAGCTGCCTACCTGCACAGAGACTTGGTCTGTGCTTAGAGGGACTGCACTGGACTTCTTACCTGCAACCTCACATGTGTTAAACATAATTAGACTATTCAAGGCCTGTAAATCTTCTCCATGTCAATGGACAATTTACAGTCATCACAGAAGATAGCCTGTAAATCCTGAAACCTCACATGCAAGTAATCATTAGAACATAACCACATCCTTACATACTAAGTATAACAAAAAAGCTCTTGTTAAGAAAATGAGAAAAAAATTGTGCAGTTCAGATAAGAAGGCTCTGATTGAAACGACAAAAGAGAAAAAATGCTAGATTTCTTTTTAAGGCTCTGTACAGGTGTTATTTTATTCGACAATGGCAGCTACTTAGGATGAAAACCATTTTCCTGCACATTTTGCTACCCAAGTCTGGATATCTGGAAGATGTATCAGGCAAAAGGCTGCCTGAAGCGATTTTCTATAGTGAACAGAGAAACTCAGGAGAAGCTCAGGGCATCAGCTCTATAATATGGAAGATCTTTATTGAGTCCTGTAGAAGATAAAATGCACAGATTCCTTCAGAATCTACGAACAAAGCAGAAACAATATTGCACAGTGCAGGGGCACCACATGGAAGAGCACACACAGTTATTGAAAGCTATGGACTCCTGACACTTGTAGTCAGCAGTGTACTGGGGAAAATGCTGCAGCTTTCCTGGCAAGGAACGCCACAGGAAATGAAATCTCACAAGCTCAAGTAACATTCAATTCCATCAACATTATTAAGTAGCTGACATGCATAAATATATGTCTTTAAGATCTCTTTGTCTAATAAGAAGTACACTGCAGTATTATATGCCTTCTCTCTCTCCCTCCCAGAAACATTTGCCATGACATTTCCTGATCAAAATGTGTGCTGAATCTTGATTACAGAGTCAGATTTGAACTGACTTTCATTACAGTCAGAAAAAAATTTGAAAGATTTCACAGTACAACATCCACAATCATTGAGAATCAGTAAGTACATTAGGAACAGACCCCTTACGGACATGGATGATTCGATTTATTTTGTGAAGTAAAAACCTATTCTTGATGATTACTAAATGAGAGTGGTAGGTGGGCTGTTAGCAAACTGCCTAATTGGCACAATAATCAAATATGCCAGTAAAAAGATGACAAGGGTGAGATGGCAGTGAAGGAATGCAGACATCTATCTGCAAGCCACTCATCCTCAGCTTGCTTTCTACCCAAGGGAGAGAAACTGGCACCTCCTAGGGTGTGAGTCATCTCATGCTAGAACAGCCAGGCAAAGTAGGTCAGATGAATCACACCTTCAAAAAGCTTTTCTGTATTCATTGACTATAGATGCCACTGGTTCAGATGGAGGTATCTAACAAGCCTGGTCATTGGCAATTAAGCTGAATAATCAACTCCTGGGAAATAGACAATAATAATACTGTTTATTTGCACACAAAGAATATAGTTATCCAACCAACCTGGAGCTGAAAGTCTTTTACTGACCTGCCATCACCATAAAGGTTTTTATTAAATATATATTTTGCTTTTATCCATAAGTATGTCACCACAACTCAGCTTTTTACCTGAACACCATTAATATCAGGATCGTGTGTCAGGTAAAAGAACTGGTGCATGCAGAGGATAACTGATCTACTTACCCTGAGATACTACTAAGTCAGGAGATTTATTAAAGGTCATTTGCTTACACGTTGTGGCAAGTATGTCCAAGCTACTTTTTGTGCCATTTTGAATACATTGATTGTGTTAGTGTTGTGTTTTTCCTTTCCATTTATGAATGAACATTTCATAAAATTCACAACTGCAAGACTAGCTTGAAGAGGTCTGCAGCTCAGACACTGAAAGACACATTGTTCAGGCAAAAAATCAGTATGAATAGAATGTTTGAAAATGGTATGTAAATATTAAGGGTCTGAATTAAGACAGCACAGGAGATTCTGACATTTCCCGTTTTCATTTATTAGCACTCAAAAGGCAATCATGTTGTTTAACACAGGGAAAAATGTGCTGCTTCCTAAGCAAACTGGAGAGAAAAACAATCCCACCAGGCATGAGCATCAACAATTATCACAGCACTGAAACTGCTGCTTTAGCAAGGGGACTGACTGCTAACAGGAACAAGTCCTCCTCCCTGCAAACTGCATGCAGAGATGCCATGGCCTTACCTAGAGGTCTCAGAGATATTTACTGATACTAGAGATGGGTGAAATCCAGCTTTCCACTTTTACTCAACATTGTGGAAAGCAGTGTGCATAAAAAAGCTCCTCATTGTCAATTTTATTTGTCTTGCCCCAGCGAGGCATGCACCATGTAAAAGTCTTCTCTGTTTTTCCCCCAAAGTGGCTTCCAAGCCAGTGTACTGTGCTTGCCTTGGACACATTTAATTCTCTCCACAGTAGGTGGTATGGGACTGTGTTTCAGATTTTTTATGAATAACGTGTTGATAGCACAGTAGTGTTTTGGTTACTGTCGAGCATTGTTTACACTGGGTCAAGGCCTTTTCTGCTCCTCACCCCACGAGTGAGAGGGCTGGGGATGCACAAGGCATAGGGACAGGACACAGCTGGGACAGCTGATCCCACTGCCCCAAGGGATATCCCAGACCATATTGTGCCATATTCAGAAATAAAAACTAGGGTGTTGGGGCTTGCTGGGGCTCCTTTGCCTCGGGAAAGGCATTGTCCCACTGGTGGGGAGCACCTGGAGGTTTTTGCATCAGTTGCTTTTCTTGGGTTTGTTCCCTTTTTGTTGTTGTTGTTCCTTTTTACTTATTAAACTCTCTTTGTCTCAACCCGCGAATTTTCTCTCTTTCACCCTTTCTTCTTTCTCTCCCCAGTCCCACTGGGAGCAGAGGGAGCGAGCGGCTGTGAGGTGTTGAGCTGCCTGCTGCGGTTAAGCACGGCAGCCGGCCCTATCTTCCCTTTCGGCTGACATTATTTATCCCGCTTCTTCGGGCTCCTCGTGCCACTCGCATCCCTTGTGCCCTTCCCGGTGCCCAGCAGAGCCAGCGACTCTCCCAGCACAGCCGGGGCTCGCTGCAGGGCTCCGGCAAACCGCGGGCCCAGCCCGCTCCCCTGGCCGGCGGTGCCAGCCGCCATTTTGCCGCAGGGAGGCGGCGGGAGCCCCCCACGGGCGGTGCTGAGGGGCCGCTCCCGGAGCCGCCGCCGTGCCCGGCTTTGCTGCCGTGCCCCGGACTCACTGCTTCCGCCTCTCCCGCCCCAGCTCCAGCGCCAAGCGCTCCGGTTCTGCCACCCGCCGGCCGCCGCCGTCCCCCATTGCCGCCGCCGCCGCCCGTCCCGCTCGCATCCCCCGCGTCGCCGGCGTTGCGCGGGGTGACGGCTGCGAGCGGCCGGCGGAGCCGGAGGGAGCGGCGCGCTGAGGCCACCCCACGTCCGCCTCGGGCACCCTTTTCTCCGCAATGCCCGCCGCTCTCCGGCTGCCCCGGCAAAGCCCAGAGGAGAGACGGGGCCGGGCGCCACCGGCAGCCGCTACCGCCGGCACCTGCCCCCGCCCGCCGCAGCTGTGAGGTTGGACGGGCTGTTGTGTCCTCTGTCCAGCGGAATGCCCAGCATGTGGCTTGGGCAGCACCAGGAACGAATGGGGGAAATAGGGTTCAGCTTTGGCCCAGTTCAGAGTTTTGACCGTGTAGGTGCTGAGCTTTTCATGACCTTGGGAAACACAGCTGTGTGCAGATTTTTGTAGACGTTTCTTCTGGATGAGAAGTAGCGGGATTTAAAGTAGACGTTGTGACCCACATGTGAAGGCAGGCACAGTACGGTGGCCTACAGCATGCCCAGCCCATCTTTTAGCACGCTCAATTATTGTGATCTGCGCTATTCACAAATCAGTGCTTAAGACCCTGTGACAATTGATAAAAGATTCGTGTTAATCACAAAAGCATTAGAGTTTGTATAAACCAAAATACTAAACTCTGAAGTGAAGCATGGACACTAGATAAAGGAAATTATATGATTAAATAATTCTATTTAAAATCACCTTGTTATATTATGCTGTATTATGTTACATTATAATATGTTATGTTATGTTGTATCGGCTACCAGCTTGCAAAATCGGACTTCCCAAAAAGCCCTTCCTGCCTTTGTCTAATCAATACTGCCTATCCCAAAAAACAGACTCCCAGAACTTCTCTGGTGGTTATCCACAAAGACCAGACCTCCAGAACTTCCCTGGTGGTCATCTACAAGGACCGGATAGCTATCTGTGACTGATTATCACCCAAAGGCTTTGTGAATTTGTGTACGAGAACCCACAGTATAAGAAGAGGCTGCAAGACGAGGTTCGGTGGAGAGTGGAGTGGGCGGTGACCCCTCACGTTCCCCAGCGGGCTGCTTGCTCTTTCTATATCAAATAAAGCAATCTAAATTTTACTGAATATCGAGACTCTTGTCTCTCATTTATAACAACCCTAACTTGAGACAGAAGAGTTTAGAATAATCGGCCTTAATCATCATCACCGACCAAGTCAGTGGTGTTAGTTAGTCAATATATACTGGAAAATAAAAGACTTTAATTATCTTACATTGGTCTCGATTGATGCTTAAAAATGTTTCATGGTGCATTTTTCAAACAAGGAATTTCAGATCAGTTCATGGGTTTCTCAAGCTACATCTTTATGGGGTGAGTTATCAGATTATTGCTGCAAGAGTGGTATCACCTCCACAAGGTTCTGTCACCTTCTCTGGTAGCTTCAGTGCCAGCTCTTGACATTTATGTGACTCTTCAATGAGCCAGTACAGCTCCTGAAACATTGAAACCTTACATAAGGGAAAATGTTTAATGTTCACAGTTTCTGCTGGTTGGTGATCTGAAGTGGCTTACCAGCTGCACGGGAAAGAACCAGACTTGATGCAAGGGACAGGGTGAAACTGGGAGTAATTACTGCACTCTTAAATCAACTCACCATTTCACAAGATTTAATCCTCACTAGAGGAACTATCTGTTCACTTTCCCAGGAAGGGAGGGGGTGGACTTAAATTTTCCTTTACTGATATATTATGAAAAAGGGTATGGTTTTCTCAGTTCAAGTAATTCTGTTCCATGACTTGCAAGCCACAGCCCTACCACTTGCTGGGTAACAGAGGCACTGCATTAAAAGTTTAAAATATGCGTTATGTATTACCATTATTTTAACACAGCATAAAACAGGATTGCCATCCACAAGTCAGTCCTGAAACGTTGTGAATTGTAATCCTAAAGGGGTAGTGTGTCATGTTGGAATTGCTCAATCTAATGCCTTACCACCACTGCAACAGCTGGGCATTATGCTGAGAATAATCCAGAAGGATTTAATGACTGGGAGTAGAACAGTAGGATGGAGAGTGGGAAGTTTGATTCTAAGAAGAAAAAGCAATTTTAATTTCACTTGTCTGATATATATTAGAGCAGGAGGTTATTTTTGAGTCTCAAGTTGTAACTGATGCTATCAGCTAATCAGTGAATTATCATCTTTGGTGTGGGTTGAATTCAGAATTTTCTGATATAATTTAATCAAGAAACAAATTTAGAAGAGTGCTGCACTATAGCTGTATTTAAATTTAGCTGCTCATTTTGCTTTCATCTTTTACTGAATGCTACCTTTTTAAGATTCATATTGAAAACACATTTGATAACAAACCAGTAATTTAAGTAATGACTTGGACCTAGGTTAGCATTCATAACTCACTGAGTGTACTGAATATTAACAGCAAAGGTTTTAATCAGAAACCATTTTTCTTGTTACCAGTTTTTGTGAACAACTGCTTCAAGATTAATGTAACCAGCCTGATGAATTGTTCTCAATGGGTGGGCACATTCAGAAAGCTCAGAAAGAGCCCTGGAATCACAAGCAGTCTGAGAACAGAGGGCACAGGGCAACTGAGGGCTGTATCCCTGCCCAATGCATATTCTTTCTGCCTCAGGAGACTTTAATTTGACCTTCTCTCCAGGATACTTTCAGATCCCACCCTCACCCAAGGATTACTAATTGTTTTAACCAGGTAAGCTCTCAGGAACCAGGTCACTGTGCACAAAAGGATGAGCCCAGACCACACTGGCTGGGTTGGCACAGCACAGAAGGTCTAACTGGGGGCTTTGCCTGATGGTTTGGGAACTGGAGTGAGAGAAAAGCAAAGTTTCTTGTGGACTGAGGTATTTTGTGAGTGTGTAAAACTTCAAACCACCAATATTTTTAACAACGACAGCAGTAACACAGTGACAACTTGCAACACGTAAGAATTTTCCTCTATTTCTTTATTCCAAATAAATTGGTTAAAATTAGGTATATGGATACTGCTAAAGGCATTATCATTTAAGGCTTTTAATGGGTTGAGATCAAAAATTTTAGTAAGAAGTTAGGAAACTTGGTCACAAAACAATGTGTTTTGAAAACACAATTTTATACTTAAATATGTATTTATGATATGTGAAGGCATTAAACACCTAGAGTTATGTAAAAGCAAGGTAGACCAGTTGCTGAAGACATAAATAAGTTTTACAAAAAAGTTATTTCTGTAGCACCAGTAACTAAGGTATGATCAATGGCTGTGTGGGCAAGGGGAAACTTGTGGATCTTGTATATTTTGACTTTATCAAGGGCTTTGATGTAGTCTCCCACAGTACTTTTATAGCTGAATTGGTGAGTTATGGATTGGATAACTGGGTCATAAGGATGCTGGAAAATTAGCTGAGCCATCAGGCTTGAAGTATGGTGATCAACAATATAACTGCTTGACTCTGAGATCAATACCTGAGCCAATACCCTTAATTCCTGATTGACAACCTGTAAGACTGAGCACTGGCTCAGCAAATTTGAAGACGATGATGAGTTGAGAGGAGCAGACAGTATGCAAGAAAAAAAGGGTGACCATTCACAGGTGTGTGTACAGCCTGGAGAAACCTAATGAAATTCAACAAAAATCAAATCAAACCCCAGTATCTGGCAATGGTGAAGCCAATGGACCAATACAGGCTGGAGCAATGTCTAGAATGCAATGTTGTAGAAGACACAGGTGAAGAAGCTGCCATGAGCCAGCAACAGCAAGCAAGACTGAAGAGCTCCTGAGCTGCCATAGCAAGTGCACGGCCAGGAGCCTGAGGGAGACAGTTCTTCCACTCTGTTCTAGACATACTAAAGAGCTTAGCTTTTGATTCCCAAACAAGTCCCAAGGGCTGCATTACGTCAGGAACTTGCCTTTGTTCTGGCTGGAGAAGGTATAAGGAGTGCTTAGTGCTGTAATCAGCTATGTAATATGGAAGTCTAAATAAGATGGAGAAGCCAAAGTTCCTCCAGTGTGCATGATGGGAGGATATGCAATAGAATGCACCTGCATATAAAAATGTTTGGCTTAGTATAAGGGGAAATATTGAGCAGAGTGAAGTTGGGCAAAGCTTGCCAGAGGGGCTGTGAAGTCTCCATCCTTGGAGATAATCACAATGTGAGCAGAAGTGGGGCAGAATACTGTGCTCCAGGCTGGACCTGTTTCGAATGGGAGGTGGATTACAGACCAAGGGGTCCCTTCCAACCTTCACCATTCTATCATAAGCTGGTCAGCATGTTTTTTTGTAGTAGAAGGTAGGTTTACTCCTTTAGGTTTAATCCTTTTTAAAGGATTATGGATTTATTCAGGAGACATTAAAAATAAGCTATTCTAAGTTGGTTTTAAACCAGCATTAAACAAACCAATCAAACGACCCTTGGAATCTAGAGGAATCCATTCAAATACAGGGGTTTAGATTTGAGATAAGAACTGTGGTTTGTAACTACACAATGATGTAATGCCAGAGATGGCAGTAGCTTAGAATGACTTAGAGATCACTGAAAGTAATCCTCTCAAGACAAGATCTGAGACCAATATTGTAGCAGAAAAGATTTTTAAATAAATTTGGAAATAAGAATGCCTTAAGAAATCAGGTAGTAGTTCATGCACTACACAGCTTAGTAAAACTTCTATGAATGCTATGTATCAAAAGATGTTCAGTGTTCAAAGAAACAAAACCAATCTGTGAATAGAAAGCCAACCTAAGACAGGAGGTTTGGGGAGCATAGTATGTCAAAGGAAGAGCTGAGAAAAGGTAGTAAATGTGAGAAGGCTGTTGTGTA